GGAAATTGAACTACTTGCTAATACTGCAAAGATGGTGTGTGGCATCCTTGTGTGGGTGGGACCATGAAAATTAGGTGTATGGAACCCTAATGAGGGGATTCTTCAGTTTTGATAACCATCTATGCTTAAAATGAGCCATAAAGGCGGAAAGGGTGGATCTGACCATCCCTCAGAAGAAGAAACAGGCATGAAGCACATCCTGTGGACCTGGAGCCCCCTGTAGCGAGAGAACCCCTAGTTCCAGGAGGCAGAGACCCCGAACACCAGAGACGTGGGAGAAAGTGGCAGCAGAGGGAGCAAAGCCAGGGGAAGGGCGGTAGATGTCACAGTGGACTTCCCAGCTGAATGCTGAAAGCGGAATGCCTTCAGTCAGAGGCTTACTGCCGGCGTGGGATGCCTCTGGGCACTTATCAGTGGATCTACAGGGCTTTGTGCGCTTGCTTGCTTGAACAGAGACCAAGCTAGTCCAAGAGGCCCAACAGGGTGAGGGCCAGCGAGAGGCCAGACTGCGGTACTGCTGCTGGAAAGAGGCTGTCCAGATGGAAGAGCTGTATCCCGAGTCTCTCCTGAATGGTAACCTGTTACTTCCCTACTAAACTCCACAGTCATGAGTATAATCTGTAAATTCTGTGTGGTGGTTGACTAACAAACAACTGGCGCTATTCTTAGTCTGGAAGCTCTGCTGAAACCTGTTTACTCTGGGTGACCCTTCTGGTATTTGAAATACCAGTGACACCACTTCCGGCACCACCGCAACACAGTATGACAAACGGATTTTTACGCCAACTTGTACCTGGATGAAAGTGTAGGGGTCAAGTCCAGCCCATCAATCAGATGACAGCCTGATGATGCATCCTTTATAAGAGAGACGCAAGGAACCCTTCCCTCTGTCTTGGCCTTGACCTTCTCTGCTTGCTGGGATTCTGTGTCTGCCTCCAGAGGCAGTCCCGTGGGGGCCACCAACCCTGAGCACTGTCAGCACTCTGCCATGTTCCCTCCAACCTGGGATCCCCAGGACTCTGCACCCACTGACCTCCCTGCTCCCCGCTTCTGTTCATCAGACGGCAGCTACATGGGTCTGAAGAGGGCTCCGGCTAGCCTCGGATTCACAGACTTGAGTTGGGCCCGGCTGGAATACCTTCTTGATATATAATTACTTCTTCACATAAGGTTCTTGTTTCAAGCTTAACACAGGCAATAACGTGGGAGAGAGGAGATCAGACACCTCCAGCACACCATGTTGATACCGAGGATTTGACAGGCTTTCTGAGGACTCAAATAGAAGGCACATTGCTCTTTCTGTGGTGCCATTTAGAGAAAAGGGCTATCTACATGATAAACCTACTGAGGTAGATCTATAAGGTCAGATCAGTTCAGTGCTTCTCTAGGCACCAACTGAATTTATTTCAGGGCTCAGCTGGTCTCTATGAGCACTTTAATGTTGGACCAGAATGAGAACCTTGCGTTTGATCTAAAAGTGTATGTCCAATCCCAACTCTGCATTTCCCGACTAAGAGCAAGCGCCAGGCTCCCGCCGACAGGATCTTCTCTCTTTCCCTTAGCCACATTTGCTGCTCAATTCATGTCCCAGCCTGTTCAATAATTTTTTTTCTGGTTTCGCAAGGGCTAAATAGAACGGTTACTAGCTGTTCATCAAAGACCTGGTGGGAACTTCTGGCTTTACTGCTGTGGTGAAATGAAATTTCTTAATCTGGCTCTTCTATGCATTTATTTGTGACTTCCACCTAATGATTGTGTGGGACCACCTTCCTCATGCCGTGACCCTTTCACACAGTTCCTCATGTGGTGGTGACCCCAACCTTAAAATTACTTTCATTGCTATTTCATAACTGTAATTTTGCTACTGTTATGAATCATCATGTCAATATCTGATATGCAAGGTGTATTTTCATTGTTACAAATTGAGCCTAATTAAAGCATTGTGATTAATCACAAAGCAATATGTCATTATATATTGGGAAATATTTATTTCTAATTACAAATAAATGAAATTTTGTCTTGACACATGAACAAGCTTAACGCTGGGTACTCGTATGTGGGTGTACCTGCATGCGGGCAGACCTGAGTGGAGACGGATTGAGGGGCGGTGTCTGGTTCCTAAGACCATTGGAAATATGTGTTTTCTAATGGTCTTAGGCGACCCCTGTGAAAGAGTCATTTGACCCCCAAAGGGGTCGGGACCCACAGATTGAGAACCACGGGGGTAGAGGAACTTAACTCAGGGATTGGTCTGCTTTGTCATTTCTCTAGGTATAAGAGAGCCATCTCAGAAGCAGGTACAGAGAGCATGTGTGAAATCTCTGCCTAAAGTGGTAGAGACAGCAGAGGAGCCACGCCAAGACGGCAAAGAGGAGTCACGCCACTGAGATCGTGGGGCAGTGAGGCAGAGCAGCAGGTAGGTTTCCTGGTCCACTGAACTAGGCAGAGGCCAAGGGACCAAGTCACTGAGAGGCGGTGAACCAATGGCTTTATTCATAATGTTTTCTGAGGCTCCCTTGTGATGACCTGTTCACGTCCCTTAAAAACTCCCATAATGACATCCCCTTACAGAAGGGTCACAGGGAGGAGATGAGCCAGTCAGGGTGCAGTGTAGCAAGGATGAAAGATACAACTTTCCTTTAGTTCCTAAATGTTCCCCCTCCCCCCATCAGGATCCCAATTCTACCTTACAAATCTGGCTAGACCAGAGGATGTACACTGGTACAGATAGGAACTGGAAACACAGGGAATCCAGGACGGATGATCCCTTCGGGACCAGTGGTGTGAGTGGCGGTACAGGGAGGGTGGAAGGAGGGTGGGGCGGAAAGGGGGAACCGATTACAAGGAACTACATGTGACCTCCTCCCTGGGGGAAGGACAACAGAAAAGTGGGTGAAGGGAGATGTCAGACAGTGTAAGGCATGACAAAATAATAATAATTTATGAATTATGAAGGGTTCATGAGGGAGGGGGGGAGGGGGGAGGGAGGGGGAATAATGAGGAGCGGATACCAAGGGCTCAAGTAGAAAGCAAATGTTTTGAGAATGATGATGGCAACAAATGTACAAATGTGCTTGACACAATGGATGGATGGATGAATTGTGATAAGAGTTGTATGAGCCCCCAGTAAAATGATTACAAAAAACCCCTCCCATAATGGTAATACTGTCTGTGACGAATGTGTGACCAGTTATCAAACCCAGCAGAGGAGCAGAGTGCTGTGGGGGGAACTGCTGGTGTCAGTCTAGGGGAAAGAAAGCGGGACGACAGAGACCCATCAGAACAGGATGGAGAAAGCGCGAAGGTGGAGGCATGTTTGCCCTCTGTCTTGTGAGATCAGCTGTGGGCTGGTGTGGCCATGGGTTCTGCTTTTTCCCTTGGAAGCCACAAGAAGTCAATGGTACCCAGCTCCTCCCCCTTTCCACACCTCACAAGCTATAACAATTTAATAAAATAAGTCTGGTTATCATCTCCCTCTTACTGGCAACCCAAACAGGCGGAGAAAATGGTGCTTTTTAGAGGTGGCGCGATGACCACACAGACACACTAGGATGGAAGCGCAAAGCGCAGGGGCTTTTGTCGGCTCTGTCCCTGCTGAGTCTCAGGGCTAGACCAGACCTGGGAATGTGGAATTGGGAGGTGAAGATGGATTGATAACAGCTCTTAAAGCTGTGGCATCTTTCACATGAGTAAGGCATATATCAGTCATTTGAAAAATACATAAATAGCTTTTGAATTGATGTTGCTATGACTCTATAACACATCAATTCACTGGTCATATATACTCTCTAAGTCTCTGTTCCCTTGTTTGTAAAATGGGATTCTTTTGTCTGTTTGGCAAGATTGTTGAGAAGACTAAATAAAAGTTCATGTAAAACTTAATAGCTGGTCTAAAGTTCGCATCTACGCCCTAATTCCCTATACCCTTCTAGCTTCCTTGAAAATGTGTGTGTGTGTGTGTGTGTGTGTGAGAGAGAGAGAGAGAGAGAGAGAGAGAGAGATTAATGGGGAGGTTAAGAGAATCAAGTTTTTTGGTTCATATATCGACCTCAGGTTTTCTCAACCAAGGCACAATGACATTGTGGGCCGAGCACCCCTTTGCTGTGAAACTGGCTGGGCAGTGTAGGATGTTTAGGAGCATCTGTGGCCTCAGCCACTGGATTGACTGTGACAAGTACAAGTGTCTATAGACACTGCCAAATGCCACACGGGAGGCTAAATTGCCCCCTGTGTTGCTCTCAGCATCCATCGAATAATTGGATATTTCCTTCATCAACAAGTTGGTCATGTATGGTGTCAATACTTCCTGTGGCTATAGGATAGGTTTTTGTGTACACAAAGTAGAGGTTTTTACTGGAAAGGAAATCCACAGCAAATATAAAATTAAGTTACATAGTGTCAATTCATAATTATCCATGAAGTGAGTAACGATATAGATTAAACCAAAATTATTTGTTTCACACAAATTTCCTGCATTAGGTTATTTTCTTAACCTAACGGTTGGTCTGAGCTAATAAGATTAAGAATAATTTTTATAAAAGAAAGAAAGAAACAGAAACGCCTCATGGCCAAGAGTCAGTTGCTCTTGTGCATTTCTAAGGCTATCTTTCCCAGAGCAGCAAGTTTCATTTCTCTTCCTCGGAGTGGCTGGGGGTCCTGAACTGCTGACCTTGCCATGAGCAGCCCCATCTATAGCCCGTTACACCCCAAGGGATCCTTCAGTATCATGAATTATTATTAATTAATATTACATCGGTTAATATTTTATGCTAGTATTATTAGTAGTAATATTAATAGTAACATTAATTTCCTGGCCACACAATGACTGATGACTGGGAGAGATGACAAGTGGGCAAGGAGGGAAATGAATTAGAATTCTTAAGTTCTCACGGATCCATAGAGCCAAGGCCTCACCTATAGGTTATCAACTTGTATGGTCCACTAGCAAGCTTAAAAAGTGGTAGCAAAAAAAAAAAAGTGGTAGCAACATTTATACTTACAGGTGAAGTAAAGACTTTAGTCCCCGGAAAGTATGTCTTGAGATGGACTTGATATTGTTGTTTTCTATGAATCTGCAAGAGGTGATCATGTTTTTGGTCAGACAGCTGTAGGAACCAGCAAGCCCTGGCCATGAATCATTGTCATTAAAAAAAGAAAGATTGTTTACTTACAAATACTCTAGGTGTGGAAGACCAATAAAAGCATCATCACTGATCACATCAAAGGAGTTCGATGTGAATAACCTGCCCAGAAAAATACACAATGAAGATGGTTCAGCTGCCACATCGCCAGTCTTCGCTGTTTTCATGTCCCAGAGGTCCGAGTGGCTTGTGTATGAAAAAAGGTCTCGCTATCTTCCCTGTATAGTATTATACAGGTAGGTAACTCCTGCGCTTTTTTACCGCCTCACCAACTGCTCCTGGAGTCCCATTCTGAGAGGCAGTTGGCGCAGGCATGGCAGAGGAAATAGCTAAGGCAACAACGTTTTGCATGTTTTCATGACAAAGAGACTTCTAGCATCCTTTCTGCTTGCTGGAGAAACGTCTGGAGCCATCGGAAGCAAACCAATGTTGCGTTGCGGTTCCAAGCCCAAGAGGCCTAGAACATTTGAGCTGCATGCCTGGCTATGCCGTGCTATCTTAGAGCAGACAGACCATTGGCACTTGCTCACCGAACACGCACTAGGCCCTCTGAAAATAATCAATGGGCGGTGGGAAACAAGAAGGCTCAGGAGGTGTCTTAGGGCGGTTATACAGCTAAGTAGTTGGAATGAACTTGCTTCTGGAGAAATTGATAAATCGTTACAGAATCCACAGGGATTTGGCTTCCAATTTACGAATGAAAAAGAATATCAACCGACAGTCTCCACCTGCTGTTGGACTCTTAGGAGAACTGGCCAGTTTTCTAAATGAGAGGTTTCAAAGAGGTGTTACTCGGCCAAAGAATAAAAAGCATTTTATTATTATTATTTAAACAATCATTTTATTGGGGGCTCTGACAGCTCTTATAACATTCCATACATTAATTGTATCGAGCATATTTGTACCTATGTGAGAGACCTCACGTTTCACTTGGACCCATTTTCTACACTGCTGCAGTGGTCTTGGACGGCTAGGCGTTTGGCATACCTTGAGAATTTGCATCTGATACATACTGCATGATTCCATTTCTGTAAAGTTCAACATTCTGTTAGCAAACCTTGTGAATTTTAGTTTTGAAATCAAGGCGTTAAATCATGTACATGTCTCTAGCTCAGTGACTTCAACTCGCTGAGTCTATTATAAACCAGGAGACCCCAGTTTCAGCAAATTTGTGAAATACTTGTTTTTCAGGTGGCCTGACTTCAAAATAATTAGGGGGTGGGCAGCAACAGATTAGGAATGGGGCATGAGTCGATTCTTTTTGAAGTTGAAAAATGGGTGCACGTGAGTGAGTTTTGCTATCACTTGCTTTTATGTATGCTTAAAATTTCTCATAAGACACCAGAAGAAACACCAACCAAACAACTCACCCTTCCCAACAATGAACTAAACAAAGAGCCCCAGCTTTTGCATGTCTCCCCAAAGGATCAATCCTGGGCTAATGTTGGATTGATTCTCTTTCAAAGCCTTTAGCTCCATGAGCAGGGCCTAAAATGTCCCAGGTTTCCCAGGTATGGACACGGAGGCACCATTGTTTTGCTCCACAGTCTTCCAGGGTTTTTTCCCTAGAGCAATGGGCTGTCCCTCCAACAGCATGGGCTCCTACTGAGATAATTCACTGGAGTCTAGAAAGTCCACACTAATGAATAGTGATGCATAGCAAGGCCCCACAGTTATTCAAACGCATTCAAAGGTTTGTGATTTGGGGGTCACAATTTTGGCAATTTCTCTTCTCACTTCATGGTTCTGGAAGATTCCTTTACCTTACTCAGGTACATTAACCTAAGAATGTCTGCAGATTGGAGATTTGCTTCTCTCTCTCTAGGCCACATTTGGGCTGGAGAGAGAATGGAGTAAGGCAGAAATGGGCAGAAATGGGCAGACAGGTTTGTCAACTGGCCCATAATTAGAACAACTTCGTAATTATATACTCCAACTTATCAGAAAAATGGCTTCTCCTCACTAGTGTTTCTTCTGTGAAATCAGATGAACGTCAGTGGGAAACGGATATTAGTGAGCAAAACTTGCCCACACAGGACAGCAAACAACCCCACAAAAACAAACAGTTTTCTGCTTAGTTTCTGTCTGTTTGTTCATGGCTATCCCAGTACCTACAACAGGATCTGTCCCAGAGTGGGCACTGACTAAATATTTGTTAAGCAAGAGGATTCACTTTGCATAAAATTCTGGCAATTACGGGATTAGGACTAGATTGAATGTTCTTAACAACAGGGACTTACCCTTATTTGTTTTTTGTGTCTCCGGCACAGTTCCTGGTTGAACAATGTTTGTTGAACTAGATTTCAGAACTGAAACCCTCTGGCTATACCCGCAGCTATGGGTCACCATCTGGGTGAATTTTGCAACGTTCTTGTTGAGGCGGGAAAAAGTCAGGACGCAAAAGAGAGCACCTGGGATGATTTCGCTGACATGTAAGAACAAGACCCAGCAAATCTTTGTCCCGAAAAGTCAGAGAGATTCGTGATCACCCTCAGGCTGAGCAGCTGCAGGAAGGGGGCACAAGCGGAGTCTTCCAGGAGGATGATCACGTTTTGGTGTGGGTTTGTTGTTACTTGAGTGCTGGTTTCAAGGGTGTTCCGTTTGTGGAAATCATGGAGGGGGTGTGGTTGCTGGGTGCTATTGAGTGAATTCCAACTCATAGTGCCCCTTTGAGTGGTCTTGGCTGTAATCTTTACGGAAGCAGCTCATCAGAGCTTTCTCCCCCCAAACCTGAGCAATTGGGTTGCTTTGACCTGCTAACCTTTTGGTTAGCAGCCAAGCACTTGACGGTCTAGGACCAGGGCTCCTCATTGAGATACACACTTAGGATATGCACAGGATTTCTTGTTTGTTGTTGTTGTTGTTGTTATTATGCTGCAATGAAACAGTTCTTATGAAAGCTTACAAAAAAATCCTGCGGGCAAAATGATGATGAATACCACAGTCCTTGAAGTCTACATTTAACTGTAGTTTTCTGTGGACAACTATTCTAGCATATGATATATAAAACTGTACATGCATTCTAAATATAGCTGAATGGGCTATCCATCTTGTTATACCATGTGTGCTTAAAATATCTCCGCAATAATTTTAAATAAAGAGGGTGAGAGTCTAGTTCTTAGGGTTGTTTATTTTATTTTATTTTTTATGGATTCCTCTAAATATGTTTCATTGTAATCTTATGATTTGTTATTGGACAAATATGATTCAGTTTCCCATATCCCTCTTCGGGGCACCGTGCCACACTAACCCCAACTTCCTACACACGCTCATCTTCATCCGGTTCTGTGGACTTGTAGAATCTACCGCTGCCCCTGGGCCATTGGGAACATTTGCAGTCTCGACCACTTCCTTTATTCTTCAAGAGGGGAAAATTCAGGGTTTCGTTGTTTCCTTTTCTATCAAATGACCCATCACTTGGTCAGAATGAGCTCCAGTTCCAACTCTTTAATCACATCTGTTTATACTTTACCACGGGAGGCTAGGGCTTTGTCTTTACTAAAAAGCCAATGGCACCAGTGATACTTTCAGTCATATAGCGAAGAGTCAATGCATTTGAGAGGAGGCTGTGCTAGGGAGCATAAAGATGCTAGAATATCTGACTGAGTTAGGAAAGGATAAAAATAAGAGTGGTGAGAGGCTTGAGGAAAACCTGCGTGTAAATTTCTTCTAGGATGGCTCTGCTGTGAGTACTGGAAGCATGCTTTTCCTTCCATAGAGGACGTGCCTTGACTAACCTGCATCACCTTCCCGAGGGCTGTGGCTTTTGCTTCTTAGTCATCAACCCCAGAAACTCAGGAAGCAAGGGGACTTACATTTTTTAAAATACCATGTGGTGTATTCTGTTTATGAACAAAATATGCTCGCTGTAAAAAAGCTGGAAGACACCAAAAAGCTTAAAAAAGAAAATGAAATAATCTTAATCGTACCTTCCAAATATACCCATATACATAAACATAACAGACAGATGATATACAGGTGGTGGTTCAAGCCTTGGAAGGCAGAGCAGAGGAGGCTTTCTGCTGCTCTCCCTAGGGACAGTCTTGGAAAGCCCCGGGGTCGTTCTAGCCTACCTTACAGGGGCCCTAGCAGTCAGAACGGACTCAGCGCAGTGAGTTTATTTTTCTTCGCATGTGGACACGTGCTGCTAGTTGCCATAGCATACATACTTATCGGAATAATTTAAAAGTTACTGGGTGTCCTTTTTCTTTACTAATTTTATGACAAATAATTTCTCATAATGATAAATTCCTTAAGAATATAATTTTAGCAGCATAGTAAGTTTTATATTATGGACATGTCATGGCCCAACTACTTTTTAAACTATCAACTTCAATTTTACATTATTATTATGAATTATGACCATAAACATCCTTGTATACAATTTTTCCCCATATTTGACCATTTCCTTAGCATTGATTTCTAAAAGTAAAATATTGTGTAATAGATTGTTTTTATGCCTCCAGTTCTTTTTTTCTTTTATTATTATTTTTTTATGTCTCCAGTTCTTTATTGCCAACTTATGCCAAACTATACATAGGGCAATACTTCTTCCTCCATCCTCCCCAACATTCAGTACGAAACCCAAATAGAATCCACTGCATGAAAGGATCCCAACTTATAGTGACCCCATATGGGGTTTCTGAGTCTGTAAATTTCTATGGGAGCTGACAGCCTCATTTTTCTCATAACGAGTGGCTGATGGATTTGAACTGGCGACCTCCTAGTCAGCAGCCCAAGGCCAAACCACAGAACCACCAGAGCTACTTAGAGTTAGTATTACCATCTTTTAGATTTGACAGTCAAAATATACTTAGCTTTAAATGTGCATTTCTCTGATAGCTATTTTTCTGTTTATTGACCATTTTTGTTGCTTTTCCTATGAACTCATATCTTTAGGCCATTTTTTTTGTTGTTGTTGCTATTTTCTAAGCACTTTATTAGAATACTAATGATTCTTGACCCATATTACTAGAGGCTAAGAGTTTTTTTCCCACTGAGTATTGTCTTTTAAATTTTTCAAGATTTTCTAATATGTAGAAGTTTTACATTTGTATTTAACAAAAAGATAGGTTTCCTTTCATAAAACACTCTTTCTTGGC